GAACATGCTGTCTCAAAAAGGCAAATATGCACATATTTCTGTGTTGCAGAAGGTGAATGGAAAAATATGGAACTGGACACTGTGGCTGCTGTTTCTTTAAATGGTCTGTACCAAAGCTGCTTTTGAGACGTGCCCCTGCAACCTACTGATGTCGTCTGCAAACTTAAATGCACAAATGAGCTTCTTGCACCAAAGGGTGTGATTAAAGTTCAAGTAATTCTTAATAAACAGACTGCCCAGTAACCCTTGAATGTTGTGAAAGTGAGTTTACCTCCATTGTTTTGAAGAGAATACTGAGAGCCATTAAGCTCAACTGGAAGGGAAAGGAATCTGTGTAAGTAGCACTTATAAAAGAGGAAAACGACCAAGCAAGAGTGTTAAAGAGGCAATCCGCACATTAAAACAGATTACAGCCAGAGTGACTCTGAAACCTGACAGCAAGCCCAAGTTTTGCCCACCATATAATGTGCTCTTTGGCCTAAAGTGGAGGATGAACTGACAAATCTTACTGAGTTTGGAGGGATCTTGCCCGTGGATCACAGTGACTGGGCCACACCTATGGTTTCAGTGAGACTTTGTGGAGATTTGGAGGTCACAATCAAACCAACTCTCTGTGTGGACAAATATCTTATTCCATGCAATGAGGACCATTTTGACCTAGCTGGATATCAACGTTTTAGTAAGCTTGATCTTTCAAATGCTTACGTGCAGATGGAAGTTGAAGAGGAGTCAAGAAAGCTACTGACTATCTTAACACCACCATTTACCATTTGGAATAACCTGCATTGTTCTAAAAGGCTATGGACCAGGTTTCCTTTCACACACTGCTGCTTGGATGATATCCTTGTGAATGGCTAGATGAGTACGCCCACCTAATTATGCTTGATTTAGTCCTGGGAAAGCTGGAGGAATATGACCTGCATGTTATACAAGAGAAATGTCTATTTTTCCAGGAGCCAGTGGAGTACCTGGGCCACATCATTGATGCATCAGGTCTCCACAATGAGAAGGAACAAGCCATTTTGGAAGGAAGAGCACCCATCAATGTCAGCCATCTACATTCTTTTCTCAGAATGATTCATTAGTTGGCAGAAGGCTTTGTGCAGACTTTCAAACATGCCTTAAAATCTCCCAGAGGCACTGCACCTCTGCAACAGTGACTGGACACATTCTTGCTGACTTACCACAACACCCCCAACTGCAAGCTGTGCTCACGTCTGTACCTCCTGACTACAGGCAGGAGAAGAAGTGGACACAATGTATAGTCTTGGCAAAAACTGGAACAGTGTGTTACTTCTGTGTTACGTCAACCATGGCTTCCATCCTCCTTCCCTTAGTTCTAAAAATTCAGAGTCTGTCAACAGTTTGAAGAAGTTGTTATAAACTCTTTCTTGTCCTCTGTGTAGTTTTTATTTATTTTTTGTTTGTGTTTAACTGTATTTCTTGTTTTTATCTTAATGATTCACTTCTTCACAAGCAAGTTGATGTATTCTCTCTGCATATGATGTAGTTTCTGCACAGTACCATAATGTTTGAAACAATGGTCAGTCTTCTTTCTTTCAGAGACTAGTACTCACCTTAGCAGTATTATGCTGTGTTCACACCAAATGCAAAGCGATCTTCAAGTCGTCCCACTTTCATGAATTTGATCGCAAGGTCATTTTTGATCCTTTGTAAAAAAAAGATCTACTAATATTCTCCTACAGAAAAGAGGAGAAGAGGACAACTGCCTTAAAATATCTCCCACTGCTGCATCACGACACAGGTTTCACTTGATTTCAAATATTTCAACTAGGATGAGGCAAATAATGTAAACTGTGCATCTTCACATCAATCGCGTCGTGTTATTCGAGGATTAGAACATTTTCGAAACTTTGAAAGTTCTGAAAAACCTTGTCACTTTGTGCAAGCATAGTCAGTCAATGGACAGTATCTGAACATCTTAGTCAAGTTAATCATCTGAATTAGACTTGGAAAACGGAGGACAGCAGGATTTTTAAGTTATCAGAGGTGACTCCCAACCAGTCATATTTGGGTGGGATTTTCTGGAAAAAACACAATCTCAATCTTGGAAACAAAATTACTGCACTACAATTTTGGGACACCCTATTGCACAAGTGATATATGGTTGCCGCCTGCTGTAAGGTTTTTGAACTAGCGACCACTGAGGTCCCAGCTGGAGGTGAAACCATCAGCTGCCTGCGTGGCAGCAGCTACATTTGCTTGGCAACCAGCTACTGTAGTGTCATCATGCCCAACCCTACGTGTGAATTCAAAATGGAAATTATTGTTCAAGACTTTAACCCTTCCAGAGATGAGATTGAGCTGCAGTCTGGTCAACAAAAGTCATTGGATTAATTTTTCAAGAGAGAAGTTGACATTTTATGAATAAAAGTCAATTAGAGGCACAGCTTTTGGAGCCAAACCCTGATGGCTCTTAATGGTATTGCACTTTAAGCTACTTCCCTATCTTCCTTCCCTCACTTTTCAGACCTGGTGTCACGCACAGGTCTTGGAGGAAGGACTCGGATGCAGAGTTAGGAGAAAGCTGATGCAGCTCGTGTATTTTATTTTCACACAAATACAATGACTGAAGAACAGAGAGGGAAAGATTACAAAACTTACAAATCAAAATCCTACCTTCCTTGAAGGTAGGATCCTCAAATCTCCTCCTGAGAGGGAATTAACTACAAACATTAACAAAAAGAACAAAACTCCTACAATGAGGGATACGCGATGAACTAGTAACAAAAATATATCATCTCCTAATGAACTAAAATAAAACTCCTACAACGAGGGACAATACTTCTAATATAAATATAAACAGAAATCTCCTCCGAAGAGGGACAAGATCTAACAATAACTAAACTAACAAAAGGAGCTATGAAAACTAAGAGGCAAAACACAGACAAAAAACACTCTCAACAAGGCAACCGACTGTAACTGTGGCTCTGTGACTAAAGGCTGGTGATGCTCGACAAGACACACTGGCAGAGGACAAAGGGGAGACGCAGACTATAAGCACACATGGAGGTAATGGGAAACAGGTGATTATAATCAGGATCGGGAAGACAATCAGACCGAGGCACATGAGGAAGGGCAAGTGACCTGAAATGAGAGGAGTTACTTTTCAAAATAAAACAGGAAGTCACAATACAAACATGGAGACAGGACAAAAACTTAACTCAACCTTTTACTGCAGTGTGACACCTGGAGTCTACCTCCAAAACAACAATACAGTCTATGCTTGAACCCAAGCCCCCTATCCTCTCACTCCCTTGCCCTCTCTCGAACATAAAATGATTTTTATGTAGAGCATGACCGATGTATGAAAAGTGTACTTAAGTATGATTTAACAGTATTTTTATTTTTCACAACTATTCATAATTTGTACTCATTTACTCCTTTGAATCAACATGTGGTTGTTTGCAGTAGTCATGGAGACTTTTTGGATATTTTGTATTTTTGTACCCCTTCCTGCTTGATTATGTTTTTGCAAATTGTCCTCTTTGTATCACTGGAGAAAACAAACTGGAAGAACTGTTAAGCGTCCTTGGGTCATTTGAAAGGCGCTATATAAATTCAAGGTATTATATATATATATATATATTATTATGAGATGTGCTAAAGTGTCCATTACTTTCACGAGAGATTTATAGATCTAAGTTTTGGTTTCTGTGTTTGTGGCACAATATTGTATGGAATATTATTGTGTAGCTGCCAAACACTGGTGGCATAGACTTTCACAACATGAAACCAGACTGCATTCGAAGGGCCTGCATCCTTTACTTACACAGCGGGCTGTTCCATTATGAGTGTTTGAAGATGTTTATATGATATGTAGTGTCATAATCAACCATACACTGCTCAGAAAGGTGAACACCATCAGCTGTTGTGACACTTCCCTCCCGAGTCAGGTGGAATAGAATGGACTCTATCCAAGTCATTTCATGGTTGCAGTGCCCAGGACACAAGGGTGCAAGTGAAACACAGATTCCACTGCTTCGTCTCCTTCCATACCTCAACAGTAAAGACAGCTTCCCCTTCCTCGTAATCTCAATCATTTTTTTTATTATTGTTATCTGTTTTATTTTGAATGCCCCATTTCTCTTCAAGAACCAACTTTGGGCACTCTGTCAAATCTAGACTCTGCCTCTTGACAACAGTAAGAGCCGAAGCCAAGATAAAGGTTTTTTTAAGAAGTGCCTGGTGGCAATGTCCTCCACAAGGACTGACAGAGCTCTTGAGTTCCCTGGGGGGGATTAGAGGTCCTCATCCCAAAAGACAGATGGTTATTTCTCAGCATTATGCTCCCCAAAGGGACTCTGACCATTGCAGCCAGAACTACAGCAGGAGCAGCCCAGAGTCTCACAAAAGGAAAACAGCTAGTTCTGGCTAGGCTGTTCAGCTGCTGAGGAACTCTCCAATACTCCGGAGATGGTCAAATGGCTTTCTCAGAGTAGTAATCAAGCTCCGCACCTTCTTAAGAACAGTGTCTCTCACCCAAAGTCACCCCTGAAAAAAGTACTACATTACCTGTAAATGATGTACTTAAATTGCACTTCCCAGGGGTACAAAAATAGGTAAAAGTAGTTACAACTCTACCAATATCAATGGTAAAATCCAGTTTACACAAGAGTGTTTGTCCCTTGCATCAGATGAGAAGACGCACCTGACCTATGTCCTCATGGTAACAATGATGAGTGCTTTTGAGGATAACATAAAAAAACTTGGTTAGGTTAAGGCAACAAAAACAAGTTAGTTAGGATTAGGTACAAAAGACACCTTGTTGGATTTAGGCACCAAATCAACCTTTTGTAGGTTGAGCCACACAAAGCATATTTTGTTACTTTTAGGCACAAAAATACGTTGTTAGGTTTATGTTTAAGAAAAGATATGCTTTACTGCAGAAAACCTATAACCTTTAAATCAAACAATAAAACAGACATGCATGCAAACAACCAAGTAAAAAAAAACATTGAAACTTAATTTCACTTGCATTGCAATTTGGTTTCTTTATTCTGAGTCAGTGACAAATTGCTGAAATACTTTAATTGTACTTAGCAGTGAATCTGTTCGGCAATCAGTAACAACAGCTGCCATTGTTTGGATTATAAAAAATAAAGATAAATTCTTTTGGAAAGCAAAAACAATGTCATTACCTTATTCCATTGTGACACCACACTTAAATAACAGGTGTAGGTTGCAGCATGTGGGCTGCAGTGAATTCCTCACCTGTGGTTGGAAGTCATATTGAATCATGGAAAACAATGTTACACATATCAATTCAAGGTGGTGGTAGCATAGAAATCGGCACAAAAGTCACTCGGCTATCAGATTTCTTTTGACTATAGAGAAAAAAATCATCAAATGTCGAGTAGATCTAACATTCCAATATAAAGAAACAAAAGATGAAAACAAATGTAAATAATAGTGCTCCATACAGGCTAAACAATTACATGCAAATTCTGTATAATGCCCACTTATCCATCCTCAAATACTGTTCTAAACTGATAGTACAGAGTTTCACATCAAAAAGATTTATACATAGAATATCTCCTTTTTATCAAATTTAAAGCAAGATGTTTAACAGTGGTTTATCTTTGTTTTGTTACAAATAGAAATGCTAATAGTGTTAGCCCAAAACATATTTTATATTTGCGAATTGTGCAAATGATCCTGCAGATCCAAAGTAGAGACTCACAATTTTTCACTTGAAGACTGTTCCATTCCTGAATACCAAGGACTTTCATTCTTTCAGTACTCTTGTTAGGGTTAGGTTTAGATAGATGGATGACATGACAGCTCCCCCAAACTATCCAAAATATCCTGATTGCCACGTAGTGACCTGCTACAGTACAAATCATAAACTCCACCCCCTACATGTTAGAAGATAGGACATGGACTAAACCAAAAATTCAAAATACACATCAAATAAATACATTTCCAAAGAGTGTTTTGTGTCCTGTTTAACTTTTTCTTTAGTTTTACATAAAAAAGTTGATGTTATCAAGGTCTCATGAGTACACTCCATTGACGATGAAACGTCAGGGGTGTGTACTCATGAGACCTTGTTACTGTGTAGTACTGATTAATGATCATTACTGCACAGACAAGGGCTCCTATTAAAGTCAACAGTGTCAGATGGCAGCACCCATATCCATGATATTTATGTTTTCAGTGGGAGGACATGTCAGCCATCTTTATTTTTAATCTGTGTGAGTTGGGACGAATCATTATTAATAGTACAAGTACTATTTTACTACACCATATTTAGTACTAAACTTGATGTCAAACAATTTAGTAAAGAAATTGTCTTTTTATCATTCTAGTGGCCATCTCAATGGCAAATCTCTGTGTATTATGGCTTAACAGAAGAGCTCATCAAGTGAAAGAGTCACAGGCATGACATGTTGCACAGATACAGCTTCATATTTGACACAAAACCAAACAGTATATGTATAATAACTGAATTATGTCCAGAAACGACTTTCGGTGGATGGATCAAAACAAACATTTGTAAATATTACATGAACCATATATTCTGTAACCCTTTGTTCGTATAAAGAGTACATTGTTGCTTTTCTATGGCTTAAAGATAGAGAAAGGTTGTGGCAAAGCAAACCAAGTAAATATGGCAAATGTACAACTTGTTCTCACTTTGAAAGAAATGTGTTAGTTTCATATTTGTGCAAAACAGAAATGTGAAATGTGAAGCAGAAACAGAAATAAAAACTTTCAGGTGTAAAAAGTTAAAGATGTTTTTTTACAACAACCAGTTCTGTAAAGGACATAAATCTGTGAGTGTATCTGTTATATAAATGAGTTGTTGCGTGTTACATTGACTGATGGGGATTTTTTTTAAATGGTAACTTAAACTATCAAACTGAAAAATCAAATGTTAATACCAGTAACGTTTGTGTATGTCCAAGAGAGCTCAGGTCACTGTATTACTTTTATATACAAATACAAGATGGACAATGTGATCCAATGGAGAAAAAACAATTAAGTACACTAAACAATTAAATAGAGAAAACATATCAGAACCCAACAATGTGAAAATGTGATGTTGTCCTTTTTTTGCTCTTGTTTTTTAAAGTTACAGCACTCTGAGCTCTCAGACATCAAAGATTTTCTTTTTAAATATCAAATCAGTACCCACTCCAATCTTTTATCCTAATTTACATCATGTAATTTTTATGAAGATTCCAATCACACACAGTACAACTATTGATTTAAATTAAAAGAATTGTAACAGGCAAATCTCACCCACTAAATAATGTTCTGTAGCAACACTTGCACCTTTTGAAAACAATGAAACCCTTAAAACAATTTCTTACATCTCAAATTACTCAAGAAAAAGAACAGAAGAAAAACCAACAAATAAATAAAAATGAAACACCATTTTGACCCCGGTCTGTTTAAAAGGCAGCTGTCAATATGACATAAGGAATGCTTCTGGACATTTGATTTGAAACAGGATAGTCATTATTATTATTTTCAACACAGATGAAAGGCATTTTTGTTATTTGCGTGTACAGTCACTGCTGTAACAAGCTCCTTTTTTTAAATTACCTAAAGATAAATTCATATCATTGGTGACAAAGCAATAAATAATTTGCCATCATCTGATGAAGGTTTTTGAGTCAAAAGGTAAAAAAAATAGGTGTATGTACATGCAGTATATCTCATGGCATGTTACAGAGCCTGGATATGCAGCATGCTAATGTTAAAAATAGCAGACCTACAAAGTGTTGGTTAACACGAGGCCAAAACATGTTTTTTTCAAAAACCATAAATGCAGAAAGTTATAACTATGATATAATCAGCACATGAATACTGACCTTTGTATTCCCTCTGTTTGTGAAATCCATGTTTCATCAATGCAATCTATTTACAAAGACTGAGTACTTTTATACATACAATCCTTTGTCTTATATTGTACAATACTTACAATTACAACATTGAATTGTGGTGTCTTTTAAACACCTCAATAGTAGAGTAAAATATATATAACTATATCTTATATATGACCAGACATGATGTCAAAGCTGGTATTTCCTATACTGCACAATCATTCAAATAAAATGTAATAGCTGCAGGTAAAGGGATTTAAAAAAAAGGCAGTGTCAAGAAGGAATCATCAAGAGGGTCTCCCTTAGTTTTTTTTCCCGCGTTTTTTTGGCTTTTCATGGAAACACATGGCATCTATCTGCTCTGTGAGCTGCTCTGAATTCTTAATCACAGTTGCAGTATTGATGTCACAATAGGAAACACAACAAACGGCATGTGCTAAAGTGTCCATGACTTTCACTAGAGATTTATAGATCTATGTGTATGCAGTCATCAGCAACACATCAGTAGGTACAGCATCTCTCCGTGGCTCGTGATGGTTGTCCTGTCCTGAGAGCCTTCAATGATTAACTGGTTTGTACTTTTCAGTCTTATTGAAGTTAAAATGCTCATTGCTGCCACTGGAGCCTCCAACATTACTGGCCCTGGGTCCAGCCTCCCGGAAAAACGTTGAAAATGCCAACTCCAGATTAGAGTAAAAACTCAAAGATATCTCAGAATGTCTTCAAGTTTCCTCTCTGTGTCTTCTTGGGGACAGTCTTGGGTAGCCCTACTTCTTAGCCAGTTGGAAAGGATGTTGACCCTTTAAATATATGTGGACATATACAGATTAATCACATCAGATGCAAAAGTAAGGAGGTATTTATCCTTCAATGTCCGGCGCATTTACCAGAGTTCTTTAATCTAAAATCCCTACCTCAAATGTCCCTACCCTAGCGACACTACCTCAACCTTACTACTGGATTTACTAACTCTAACAGTCAATTCTAACGCCTAGAATCATCGGCATGGTATGTTTTCAAGATTCTACTGAATATACCTTATTGAAAAGCACTGACATGGTTATAACATTTCTGTAGCCAACATGGGAAAAAGATAAAATAATGACCATAAGTGGCCCTGTGACTCTTGCTCTAAGAGACAATCTCACAATCTGTGCTCCACAGGATAAACAAATGTCGGATAAGTCACTGCTCAGTAAGTAATGCTTTTCTACACATTGGCTTGATGACTCTGACATAACCCAGAGATAAACCCTGAGGTTACCTCACTAACCACAATTCCGGCTTTCTAAAGGTCTCTGGCCTCTTGAACTTCCCAATGTTTCTGCCTAATACCGTAAATGGTCATGCTAGGTTAGCTTTGTTCAATTCAATTGAATTTCATTTTTAAAGCGCCAAATCATAAAATACATAATTTCAAAGCACTTAATATAGTAAGGTCAAGCCCTTAAAAATCAAACAATTAAATAAAAGCTGTGGAGCATAATCAATACGGCTTCTGAGTTCTTGAGCCATCATGACAGCTGTTCATAAAAGTGTATGTTTCTTAACGTTAGGTGCTTGTGAGACTGTCTGCCAACAGCAACAATTATCGTCTTAAACCTCATTAGAAAAGCTCAAATAATGTTGGATTATACAGACCATGCTGTGGGCACACACACATTCAGTTTTAAATCAAACAGGGTTAGCAGAGATAATCAGCACTTTATTATTTAGGTTGATCAAGTAAAAATTAATGCAATTTCCTCACATTAGCATTAAATTAATTTATTTTGAGGAAGATAGTCATACGCGACCAGAGTAGGGATAGGTCGCTCGATACCGACGTATGGAAGTTGTTTGATTATGAAGCAAAATTAGTTTACAGAAACGATCCTTTTCACAGCCCAAGGCTCTTATTTTGGCACATTACACAGGAATGTGAGCTACAAGTCACAGTGTCACGACGTGACGGTAGCGTTCATCATCATAAGCGTGATTGGCTAAAGGGATGACACGTGAGAGGAGATGCGTGAATATAGTGTAGGGGTCTATATTCACATTCATCATCCCAACATGAATGATTTGCCTAAAAGACATCACGTGAGAAGAGATGTCTAAACACAGATCGATCCATATTTTACGTGTCACAAAATGATCAAATTATCATACTTTACATTATTGACCATACAAAAGGCAAAATGATTGTACAAATACAATAATTATCATACATCTGGCAACACTGGCTGAAATATAAGGTTCCTTTATAAGCTCCACCTCCAGGTGAACCACCTACAACATGTCACTGTACCAGAAAATGGTCATTAAGAGATTTGATCTCAGAAATTTAAAAATACAACTCCAACAATATGATGGCTCTTATATAAGTTATCGCCAGAATATCCCTTTAATTGTCATGTATATACTTTCATTATTGTGTACATGTGTATGTTATCATGTAGCATTTTGCCCCTGCTCAAGTTCCCAGACAACATCACAACCACGCTACTCCGCCCAGACATGGTGTTAACCAAGCAAGTGGTTTTAATAGAACTAACTGTCCCCTGGGAGGACCGCATCGACGAGGCCAATGAGCGAAAGAGGGCCAAGTACGCCAAGCTCATCGCTGAGTGCCGGAGTAACAGCTGGAAAGCCCGCTGCGAGCCAGTCGAGGTCGGGTGCCGTGGCTTTGCTGGCCAGTCACTTGCGCGAACCCTCAAACTCCTTGGAGCGAACGGACTGCATACTAAGAGAGCCATCAAGAACACGCTAGAGGCCGCGGAGAGAGCCTCAAGGTGGCTGTGGATCCGCAGGGGGGATCCGTGGAACAACGTGCCACTTGGGCACAAGCCAGGGACTGATCACCCCCGGCTGGGTCGCCCAGGAGAGGGTGTATGAAGATTAAAGACCCGAAACACCCTATGACCCTGGGTTCTTCACTGATGACGTGTCCAAGTATCACTGTAAGGTGTATTCAACTCCTGCCCCTACAATAACACTGTTAAAGTCTGTTTTATGTTACAAATGATTCTTTTTCTATTAGCTTTACCTGACTGTTACAGACCTGTCTACATTCTTCTCATCCTTCAGATAGTGCACTTGAGATACTGCATTAAACAATACACTCACCAAGCACTTTTATCAGGGACACCTATACACCTGCTCATTTTTGCAATTATCCAATCATGCCATCATCATATTATGGTTTACTGAGACATTTGAATAGTCCAGAGTCTGCTGTTCTTTGAGAGTGAGAATAGTGTCCTTACGGTAAATGATTTTAAACTTTTGGAGCTGTAACTATATTAAAATAAACTCTATGATATTAAACATTCAGGTCTGCACACTTACATTAAACCTCAGATATAGTGTTCTGTATAGTCATCTGTAGTGACAGTTGCAAGAAACACTACGAACTAGTTTAGTATAAAGTACAGGTGCAGTTTTATAAACAGCTTCGAAGTACAGAAAATACAATTGAAGAGACTATGGTTTAGTTCCAGACAACACAGGTTTAAGTCCAAACCCTTGATAAACACTAAAGCTAGAGCAAGAGTAGCCATTTAACATTAAGTTATTAATTTCTTGTTTTATATTCATAATTAATGACACTGTACTTAATGTTATTAATCTTGTGGAAATCTCTTGCCTCCATAAATTGGCAGATTTAAAACATTTTTTTGAGAACAAAACCAAAAGCGTCAGAAATTAATATTTAATTATCACTTTAAACACCATAAACATTTGGAACATTTCAGAGCAAATCTGGACTTTTGACGGGTATGGCAGCTGGAGACTAAGGCAGGAGTTAGTGTGAGGTACTGTGCAGCACCTGCAGCACATGATGGATTTATTACTGTCGAAGCTTCAAAAACAATCTCTCATGGCTGTAGACAATCAAATCCAGGCAAAGCGAAACACAAATGAAAGGTTTGTCAAAGAGCAGCAGCACGTTATGGATCAAGCTTCACTCCGGTCAGTCCATCCATTTCTTCTTCAACACCGAGTCACTTGGTAAAGTTAATGAGGTTAGCTTAATAAGTACAGTTACATCATAAACAACGCGTGTGGATAAAAATGTTCTATAGTTCTTGATTTAAAAAAATCTCCATTGTCCAGGCAGGTTACAGCTTTCTTCATAAACGGATGAGACAATGTGACAATTGCAGCAGTATGCCTTTAGGGTGAGCAGCAATATTTTCATCCAACCATATGGGCTGCACTGTGCCTCAGATTAGAAGGCAGATGAGCAAACACAACAAACAGTTAATACATAGAGCCTGACAATTGTAAAGCAGGAAGTGGCCCGAAATATTTGGCAAAAATAATTTTCAGTGAACTGAAACTAGAGGGAATATGTGTACAAGAAGCTTAGATAAATAGAGCCGTCGCTTTCCTGCTGTACAACTAAGACTTTAAAGCTTCAAATGGTTAAGAGGTCTTGGTTGACACCCTCCTCCATGACACAAAACGGTAACAGCAAACTTTGATTGTCTGCAATACTTGTTGATAATGAGCCATCAGACCTTGGACACAGAATTTAAGGCTGTCCCATAATGATTATCACCTTGGATAGTGTGGTTTTAGCAATGCCTGTTGAAACATTCAGTCCAGAATCAGAGCTATCAGAACTGATTATTTTAAATGCCACAGCATTTAAACCTTTTGCATTACTTCATGTATTTTCTTACAGCATTTATATTTTTGCATCCTCTGGCGCGCATGTTACGCAGAGCAGACTTCATAGCACTCTGCTCAATAGCTGATTGATTACTACAGTAAAAAAAGAAAACCTAAATCATTAACTCTTGGGGAGATTTTGACTTGAAATCCACAGGAGAATCACCTGGGGATTTCTGGAAAATTTCTGGAAAAAATTAAAAAACTACTATTACTGTAGAAACATGCGTTATAATATACAGATACAGATGCATCTTCAATAACTTCATACTGACAGATATGACGGCCATGTAACTCCATCATTCTGCCCTAAGTGCAAATCCATGTTTTATAGCATGTATACTGAAA